TTCAATCCTTGGCCTTCCATGCCTACCACCCCAGTGCATGCTGAGATAGCAAATGAGACTGGGCATAGTGGTGCATGCCTGTAATCCCAGTGCTTGGGAGGCTGAAAAACAGGAAGAATCACTATGTGTCCAACCTGTGTAGTGAGACCCTGTAGACCCTGTACTAAATACATAAAAAAGAATGTCTACTTCAAAGAAAGGAAAAAAAGAAAATAATGTTTATTTCAGGGTGACCAATCCCAGCAATCCAGCAGTAGACATAAGGTATGGTGGTCAATAATACCAGGAAGACTGCACTTTAAGCTCCAGTGATGTTCAAGTTGATTTTGGTTTCAAGCTATGAGGCTAGTATCTGAGTTGTTTAGCCCTTAGCATACTAGGTGCCTCATGGCAGCTTGCACTCAGTTGAACTTTCCTGTGCCTTACCCTGACACTGGCAGCCACCATGTGGAGCCAATCTGCAGTTGCTCTGAGTTTCAGTTAATTTGGTGCCTTTCTAAAATGGTGAGCAGCAAGCTCATCACCCTCTCCCAAGGACATCAAGAAAAACTTAACCAGCCACTGCAGTTCACAGCATCCACTGCTCTATTCCATTAGTGTGTTTTTCCATGGAGACCTATGCAGGTTGCTAGTAGTCACTGTGCATCTATAGATTTGAGCTGCCCCTCCCACACCATGAGCTGGGGCTCAGGGAGACAACTTCAGAGCACTAGCTTCTTCTCTGTTGAGGTTGTTCTCTTCACTTTCCCTGTGAGCTCAAATTCTCACTTCAGATCTCTGCTAATACTTTGCTTCCTCACAATACTATATTCTAGCATCTTGACTCCAAATCTCAGAGAGGCTATGTCTCTGCTGCTCACCACTCTTCGATCTTCTCAGAAATTCCCAAAAACATTTAATTTAACCATTCCTCTTATTCAGATAATCTTAATGTTCCCTTGAGATACCTAGCACATGGAAATGGGGCTTACAGGTGATGTGTTGAGTTTTTCTCTCTGGCCCTGACACTAGGTTGAAATGATTCCAATGGCCAGATAAACAAGTATTAGTCAAATTTGTAGCCTTGGAGGTTTTCCACTCTCATCATTCTGATGAACCTGGAGTGGGCTGTGAGCTTTTAAATTTGATAATATACTCTGTGCTTCTGTAAAATAAAGCATTTTCAAGTATGCAACAAAGATAGTTTAGTTCTTTTTGGACCACCCATGTGATGGTTGCTAAGTGCGGGTCAGCAGAATGCTCCTGAAAGTGTAGGGTAAAGCATTTCTCCATTTAATCCAGGACACTGAAGAATGATTGCTCTGTAAGTCCTTAAAGGTTTACTGATATTCATATCCATAAGGGAATAATTAATTGCCAACAATGAAAATTGAACATGCACTTATATTTGAGCTCAATGCCCATATTGGCTTACTTGATAGAGACCCAGAGCAGACTTAAATGACTCCTTCCTTATAAAAATGTCCTTTCCAAAACCTCCACCCTCTCCCACACATGCCCCTGCCTCATAGATTTGGAGAAAATTTAAGAACAAATTATTTACTGTATAGTTTCTAGTCTATCATATAAAGTAGATTTATTGTGATACTAATGAAGCTTAAACTTAAAGGCACCTTCCTTGTCCAGGCACATGGTCATAATTTTTCCAATTTTAAAATATTTTAAGTGTAATTGGCAAAGTCAATGTCTCTCCTCTTGTCCCATTTGTTGGGCAGAAGAGTGGCTGTGGATTTGGGCTCAGGCCAAGGAAAGCTGAGTTGGGAAACATTTCATGTGGGCTCATGGGATGTACGTGTATGGCTTTGGTAAACACTGAAAATGGCTAAGTTATTGTGAGCTGTTCTTCTGGAGGAATGAACAGCAATTCCTCTCTCAACCACTGTGCACCCATCATGACAAAGGAGAGCATAAGGCACCAGCATCACCCTGATGTGCACAGCTGCAGTGCCTGGTACCAGGTGAGTGAGTGTGTGGAAACCAAGTGTTGCTGGAAGGCACACAGTCTCATGTTCCGAGCACCACAGAGCATAGGCATAGGCAGTGGACTCCGTGCCTTTCCAGTGTGGAGCTGCTAAGAGAAGGGGACTGTGAGGGGTTTTCCAAACCTCTGGGCCAGTCTCCCTCACTGCTGGTCAGCAGCTGGCCATTCTTCTATCTGATAGTGGGGAATATCACAGCATCTGCTATATCTCCTAAAAAAGAATCCTCCGAGTGCTACAGAAATGACCCTTGCACAGCTTTTCCACACTTGAACTACAGAAGAACTGTGAAGCACTCCCACTTTGTACTGACAGGCTGTCTGAAAGTTTTACAGGCATATGTTTGTTTAAATAAACCAGTAGGGCCAGCAAGATAGCTCAGAGGACTAAGCGCCTGCTTAGGCAAGCACAGGGACCTGGGTTCGATCCCTGGTACCACATGCCATGCCGGCCCCACCCCCAGGCACACTGATGGCCACTGAGTCTGGGTGTGTTGGCACATGCCTGTAATACCAGCACTGGGGAGGTTGAAAGCAGGAGGATCACTACAAGCCCAAGATGCATGAGACAATGTACCAAATACATAAATAATAAATAAATAAACCAGTATTACAAGTGTAATTCTTACTTGAAATAGAAAAAAATCACTTTAATTTCTCACATATGAAACTTTAAATTTTAACTAATAAAATATGAGTTCTTTTATAACTTGAATTTTTTTAAAGATACATCCATTAAGGCAATGAAAAGAAGACACAAATATTTCAAAATTTCATCTAATATTAGAAAACATAACAGTTTTTATTTTTAGTCCAATACAGTAAAGCAAATGAAAGTTCCATAGGAGTTATTTTACTTAAACTGGGTGTGGTGGCACAAGCCTGTAAGCCATGCACCCGGGAAGCTGACGCAGGAGGAGCTACGTTAGAGGTCACACTGGTCTGCACAGAGAGTGCAACGTTCACTTCTTTAAGAGTAACAAACTTTTCAATTCCATTTGAAAAACAAAGTGGAAAAATTACTTATAGAACCTTACATGATCAGTGAACTATAAGATTGACAGTGAGATGCATTATTAAAATTGTTTAATAATTACTAGGTATTTAATTGCTTTATTAAAATTGTTACATGTACTATATAAGAATCCTGTGAAAAAATAGGATGTCACAGTATTTTGGATCTAGATCTTTGTATCACAGTCTGTCCCCAAATTGTCATCTTGCTATATCCTGTGACTGGGTACACAGATGGCCCAGAGCAGTAACACACCTCCCAGCAAGCAGAGACAACCTTGGCTCTCAGCTGACCTGCCCGCCATGCTGCTCCATGTCCGCAGCAGAGGGAGAGCTGGGCCCCACTTCCACAGAGCACTGTCTCCAGGGTGCACCCTGCATAGCACAACCAACCCACACTTGCTGCATGGGGTCCATGAGGCTCAGCCTGGGGAAGGCAGCTTCTCCACAACCAGACAGCTCTACCAACTATTCCACAAGTCCTTGGAGGGTGGAATCTTCTGGAAGAGAGAGAGAAGAGGTCTAAATGATGACAGAAAAACACACCACCAGTCAACTGCGCTAATGCTGAGAAAGGATGAAGAAGCTGGCAAGCAGCAGTCTAGAGAGCATTCCCTGGAATTAAACCTGACAGAACCCAGGGAAAGTCACCATTCTCTTACCAGATGCAGGCAGCTCATTGACGAGAGGTTTGTGGCTGGCAAATGGCTCTGTGGAGTCTTGCTCTGTTGATTTCTCTTCCAGGTCTGACTCTGGGATCGGAGTACAGCCACCTATGTAAGAAATACAGCATTTCAAGCAATGTGGAAGGAGATGTGCCTCTCCACACAGTGCTGCAGCATAGGAACAGACTAAGTGCAAAGACAATAAATGATGGAACAATGATGTCCTGGAGAAGACCAGACGTGATCATTATGTCTGTCTTTGGTGAAAATGTCACAGATAACTTGCTCCCCCCCCCCATGACAGGCAGTAGTGATGAAGACTTGGCAACAATGTTGTCTTAAATTCATCCTCTTTTAAAAGTCAGAAATGTCAGAATTAGATGGGTGTGGTGGCACATGTCTGTAATCTCAGCACTTGGAAAGCTAAGGCAGGTGACCCTCTGTGAGTTTAAGGCCAGACTGGGCTGGCTACACAGTGAGTTCCATGCCATCCTGGACTACATAATGAGACCCTGCTTTACAATCACACACACACACACACACACACACACACACACACACACACCCCAAAGAAATGTCAGAACTATAGCTTATGTAGTATCCATGATGTAAGACCCTGAGCAGAACTTCCCTTTGATACCAGAGCATGAAAAGCCATGAGGAGAAAAACATTCTCTTTTCATGAGTGGAAAGCTGCAGGGCTCTTAGCAGAATTCTGGGGACTTGACTCTCCTGAACCCAGTCCCTTGGCATAGACAGCAACCCTCCACAGTAGAGGTTGCGAGCTGAACTGGGGACACCAGGGGACAGAAGGCTGGTGTTGTCACCTGACTGCAACCACTGCAGATGTGTGTGGAGAGCTCAGGATCCTGCAAGTCCCAACGGCATCCACTGACTGACCTCACCTACCTGCCATCGTTTCCCTGACACATTAACTGCAGTGTGCTAGGCCTGCTCTGTTTTTCTTGGTGAAGTGGATGCTTCCCACACACTGAGTCCAGTACCTGGATACGCAAGCTTGGATTCACATGTGAGAAGGTTAAAGACGCTCACGACAGACTACAGGATATGTGCTGGCAGCACCGATGGGAACACTGTGTTACCCCAGGGGAGGGAGTGTCTGGACCCTCGAGTTAAGTTGCCCTGCACCAACCCTTGGTATTGCTTCTGAAAAAGAAACCAGATCCAAGGAAAGATTGGGGAAGAAAGGGGTTCAGTGACCACAAAATAGAAAGCAGCAGAGCTGCAGAGTCCCCTGGACAAGGACACCCCCAGGTTACCCATCCACATGGTGGAACTGCATCCCACGTGGACAGCAAGGGACCTACCAGAAAGGGAACCACACTGAGTTTTTGCATGTTTCTTTATTAGTGTCTCTTATTTTAGGTCATACTTGCTTACATTGTGGAAATTTTGATCAAACCCAAGTCCCCATTATCCTCTTGCCATTATCTCCTTTTCCCATTACCCCTCCTATTCCCTGCCTCTTGTCTAATAAGAATCTCTCCTCTATTTTCATGCCATCTTTTTATTTGTTTTTGGCTTTTACTTTATACATATTAGGGAACGCTTGCAATATTTGTCTTTCTGAGTCTGGCTTATTTAGATTAACATAATAATTTCCAGTTCTATCCATTTTCCTGCAAATGACATGATTTCATTCTTCTTACTGTGCTACAATGAACACTGAAACCCAGGCTCCCTATATAAATTGACTTTAACTCCTTTGGGTATGTACTAAGTGTAGTGTAGCAGTTCTATGTTTAGTTTTATTAAGAACTCTCCATACTGATTTCCATAGTAGCTGTACCAACTCACATTCCCACCAGCAGTGTACAAGTGTTAAAGGATTGCTTTTCCCTCCATTCTCACCAGCATTTTTGTTTTCTTTTCTTGATGACAGTCATTCTGATGAATGATATGGAATCTCCAGGTAATTTTGATTCGCGTTTCCCCAAAGGCTAAAATTTTGAACATTTTTAATATATTCTAGACATAAATCCTCTATCAGAAGGGTAGCTGGCAAAGATTTTCTCCAATTTAGGTATCTTTTCACTCTGCTGGTTGTTCCTTTACTATGAAGAAAGTTTTTAATGCAATACAGTCCTGTTTACTGATTTCTCTGAGCATGTATCGTGCTACTGGGTCCTTTTGAGGAAAGTTTTTGTTGGTAACTGTAACTTTCAATTGTTTCCTGTTTTCTTCTAGAAGTTTCAAAGTTTCAGGTCTTATACCAGGTCTTTCATGAATTTTTCAATTTATTTTTCCATATAACGAGTGGGGTCTAGTTTCATCCTTCCATGTGTGGATGTCCAGCCCATTTATTAAAGCATCTGTCTTTTTTTCAATGTACATTCAATAGTCAAATGTGAGGAGGGTTTGGGATTGGGCTTTGACACCTGGATTCGAACCATGGCTCAGCACCTACTCACTCAACAGCCCCCAGTAAGTCTTTCAGTGAGGTTAGCCTTTGTTTCTTCATGGCTGACACAGAGATCTTAGCAGCCCGACTTCACAGAGGAGCAGATGAGTGTGAAAGGTGGTCCCACACTGACGTACACCAAGTTCTCACCATTTTCAGGCCAGTCGGGAGTCCCAAAGAAGGGGTGTGATCACTACAGCAAGGTAACATCCTGCAGTGTAGTCTGGAGGGGTAGGATCCCCACAGACTGATAGACCCCAGGACCAAGATGCAGTCTGCAGCAAGGGGAATGCAAACCTGAAACTCAGGGCCTCCTGGGCATCATCTCCGCTCACTCAGGCCCCATCTGGTGTCTGTCCTGCTGCTGGTGTGCACACTTGACTCTCACCAGGTGAATCCTGGGTCACAGCCCTGCTTCTTGCCTGCCTCCTTGCTGTCTATTCAGCACTTCAGTCTAAACCAGGAGCTGGTCAGACTGACATCTCCAGGTGCTGCAGGCCCTTTGGTCCACTGCTTAGCTGTGCCCCTGCCATGCAAAATCAGCCACAGTCAACATGTAAGTGTGAATAAGCACTGGCTGCATTTCAATAATACTATTTATGCAAACAACTGATAGGCCACATTTGGCCTTTAGGTATGAGAATTTTGCAATCCTCATCCAACAAGGGTTAAAGAAAGCTGCTCTGAAAATGGTGGCTCCAAGGTTCCTAGAGTTACTCAACACTGCCAGATGTCCCACCTTATAGATCACTATCAGAATAGCTCATAATGTAATATGCCTAAAGTCATTATTGAGTCAGGCTTTGTCACCCAAATCTACAATCTCAGCATTATGGGAGGCTGAAACAGGAAGATCACAAGCCCAATCTGGACAACACAATACATGGCAAGATCCTGTCTCAAAATAAAAAGAAAAACTAAAAAAGTCTAGGGATATAGCTAGTGTGAAGGTCCTGGATTCAATACCACAAAACAAGAATATACAGACATAATAGCAAAAGCATTATTGTCTGCACTTCTGCAACACATGCTCTTTTTTCTGTTAGGACACTGATAAACTTTTTATTTTTATTTTTTTTAAACTTTTTATTTTTAGAACAATTTTTGTCACATAGAAAAATTAGCAGACAGCATAGAATTCTCACCTCCCCTCTACAGGTCTCCTGTTACTAGCATCTTTCAGCAATGGGGTGCAGTGGTTACACCCATGAGCCATCTCAGCACATTATTATTAACTGGAGTCCACAGTTATTCAGAGTCCCCTCCTCTCTACCTGTTGTCTCTTCAGACCTGACCCAGGCTGTGGCTTCCTTGGTTCCCTTCAGTGCAGACAGTTTTCTCAGGCGATCCTTGTTTTTTGGCAGCCTGGGCACTTTAGAGGAGATCAGATAGACTGCAAGATGACCTTCTACTGGCATTGATCTGAATTTCTCTTATGATCAGCTGGGCAACCTGTTTTCCAGGAAGGTTTTTTCTCCTACGTCTTCATGTTTTTGTATCTTAAGGAGGTCTCTGGGTTCCTCTCATCTTCTATTGAAAGAGAATCCAAGCAGGTGGTGCATGAAGAGCTAGGGGAGGGCTGGAGATGGGTGCTAGGTAGAGGCCAGACTGTGATGGTGGCACTCTCCTGGAGCAGGCCCAGCTGAGTCAACCGTGGATTACAGGTCATCAGGGCCACCTTGTGAAAAGCTGTCAGTGAGACCAACCAAGCCTTGGTGAGGCTGCAGACAGCGCTATGTTCACACACTGCACACCTCCCTCCCTCCACCTTTTTACATCTTCTGGACTAGATGCACTTTCTGCACCATTTCTGTGGAGCCAACCTCAACTTTAGTTCAACCACCTTCAGAAGATTCCCAGGCAGAGGCCCAGGAAGACCGCAGTGCAGGCACAACTCTTCATCCAGGGCGTCCTCACAGGCCGGCCTGAGACCTGGCCTCCTGTCTGTGCCTCTCTGGCAGGACAAGGTGCCAGGGAGCAACTTCTCAACCAACCTGAAGTAAAGGTGCCAATGTCCCATTTTCTAAGCAGGACAAAACCTCTTCTTTCCTGTTCATAAATTTCAGAGGAATGGGATCAGGAGAAGCTTCTGTAGAAGCAGAAACAACTTCAGCCCTGCACTGATTCACCAGCCACAGGGTCTTCTGTTTTCATGGCCTGCATTTCCACTAAGAATTAAAAACAGCAGAAAACTCAAAAAGACACACCAGTGGCATTTTTCTTTTAATTAAAATTTCTTTATGGGTAAAGAGTGTTTGAGATTAACATTCCTATTTGTTCCAAAGCTTTATGATTCATGCTAAGAGTGGGCAACGGGTGCTGTCATATTGAGATATGAAGAGCATCCACAGAGACTCTCATTCTACATAGTTTCAGTCTCACCAAATCAACCACACTCCAAAATATTAAATGGAAAATCCCAGAAATAAACAACTCATAACCTTTAATCTCACACTGTTGTGCATAGCGTGATGAAATCTGGCACCCGCCTGCTGCACCCTGCCCCTCCCAGCCCCGGATGTGAGCCAGCCCTGTCCAGAGCATCCGTGCTATGTACACGACTGGCTGTAAGACACTCAGGAGCCATCCTAAGGTCAGGCGACTGGAGCAGTGCTGCAGCATCTGGATTAAGTCATGCTTAGTACGCTGAGAGCCCCAAAGCCCAGCAGGCAGGCACTGGCAACTT